TGAAAATGAAACAAGGAATAAAAGGGGCGCAATGAGAGGGATGGTAATGGGAAATCCAAACTTGTGCAGTTTCACCCAGTTTCCATCTCTATTCTAGTGCAACATCACCACATCAGACATGAACAATTTTGTAAACAGTCCACTAGCTACACACTAACAAATGATACTCTTGGAGATAAAAGAAATAGCAAGAGAAAAGGATACCTTAGAGAGTCCAGTCAAGCATCCTTCACTTTGGGAATAATAGAATGTGTGTGGGAGCTTGGGAGATATGTCCCTAAAAGCTAAGACCTGTCAAAACAAACACAACAAAGGAATAAAGAGAAACTCTAAGCTGGCACTATTTTTTAATATGAACAACAGACTCCAAAGCACAGCTCATCTGATAGGATCATTTTTCTAAAAAAAGTTGAAACATTAAAAAAAAATGTTACCTTTATAACAGCTGTTAAACCATAATAGATGAAAAAATCTCTACTAAAAACAGATATCTAATGGTAAATTCAGTTTCAAAAGAAAAGTATAAGCCACAATGAGCACAATAGTACCTGCATCCTCATAAACTATGGTAGATGGGATTTCTTTGTTAATTATTTTGTCAAATCTGCACATCAATCAAAAGCATAAGAATATGCAAACTTTTCATTAACGCAAAATTCTGAAATCCAAGGGAAAATATCAGAAAGTTCAATATACCCAACCAAAAAAACAAGAATAACTTTTAAGGTTAGACAAGTTGCTATAAAACTTTGGTCAAGGCACAAACTAATAGTAACATAACCAACATTTACCATCTAGAACTGATTGTTGATAAGAATTCTAGTTTCAAACATAAAGAGACTTCAAATCCTAATCCTACAATGCAATTACTAAACACAAAACTATGTTATGGCTACAAAGTTCCCAGATGGCTACTGTAGCGATTTCTATCACACATCCAATAGAGCTCAATAGATTTCTTTTGAAGGCATGCTCTTACAATGCAAGAAGCATATACCATGTGACATTCAAGGTTCAATCAGGCCCTAATGAAAGGAGAGCAACAGTGATTATTTGAAACAAAAAGAAAAAAATCCACAATTCAATCTTAATCACAGCAACCAAACTTTTGATGGAGCTCGAAATAAAATTTCCTAATTAATACCTCTTCAACAATTTGCATCCAGACTCTACAAAGCATGACCGACCAAATCTTCGAGAATTGGTTTGATTCTTCAATTTTCAAGGCTTGATAGATAAATTGATAGCCAATGATTTTTCGGGCGTTTCAGAATAGTTTAACCAACATGTTAACTAATCCATCGCTATAAATTGGATGGGATTTTGCAGTTTTTTCTTCTGAAGTACATCAACGTGACATGAGCGCGAAGGGGTTCAAGAATCCGTTTTTTTTCATAAGGTCTAAAATAATTTATTTTCATTTCAAGCTTTAGAATTATTTTTTTTGTAAATTATTGAGCGGCGAATTCCAATCATTTTATCATGTAGAAACAGAATAATCAATCAATGAGGCCAAATAATCAGACAATCGACAAATGAAGTTTAAGAAAGTGGAAAAGATAAGGGATAATAAGAATACTAAACAATTGAAAAGAGAGAAATAGAAAAGAATTGAAGAGAAGCTCACATGTGGGAGAATCAGAGGGAACTGCAGCCAGAGCTGCTTCTTCTTCTGAAGTCATGGCGCAGCAGGGGACAAATGAGAGCTCAGTACTCCAGTCGGCTTTTACCTAGGCTTGATATTTTCTCACCGCTCATGTTCATTACCTTCTAGGCTCGCCCTCTTTTGTCTTTCCCTTGACTTGTTTAAATTATCTTTATCCTCCCCTACCATTAGGGTATTTTTGTTTTAAGCAATATTTTATGGAGATATACTGTAATAATCATTTTAAAAAAAGTTAGAGGCTATTACAAAATGAGAGTCTGCTTCATTACGAGGTTTAATCAAGTAACAAATTTTTATTTTTTTTTAGATATCAAAAATCTTCCAAATATTAATGAGCCGTTTTATAAATATTTATCTAATTCTTTCTCTATCGTTTATTCTTTTATTTTAACACCATACAATTAACAGAAGAGAATTTTTTTTTTTTTATTTCTATAATAACATGGTATTTTTTATTGTTTAATTGTACTTAAGGGGGATTATTGTTATTAATCCAAATAAAAACTGCAAACATAGACTATCAGAATGCCATGATTTTATTTAAGAATATTTAATATTAACAGAGGAATAAAAAATACTTTGAAGTACATATATCTATTAATTTATTTTTAATTCAATAGATTGTGGGTAATAAATTGTTTCATCAAAACATAGACAAATCTTACTAGTTTTGATTTATATCATAGATATTTCTCAAATTGTTGAGAAGTATATTTGTGTTTTAACCAAACTTAAAATTAAAGTTAATAAAACTATATTGATTATTAATTACATCTTTATTTGTGGACTCTCCATTACCCCTCCTTTTTTTTTCTCCTACAAAAGGTTGCATGTTCGTGTTTAAAGGAAAACTTCCGCCAACACTCTTTCCAAAGAAAAAAATCTATAATATAACGAGTTGTCATATAATCCATACCACCTTCCAATAAACTTAAGCCACCTTTGAATTTTGTCTTTCTCTCTATGTTTAAATTAATTGTGATTGTTAGGAGGGCTCAACAAAATGTAGAAACCGAATCGAACTGATTTTTCAGTTATCCGAAAAATAAGTTCAATTTTAGTTGAAGGAAATATATAAACCGAATTTCCGGTTCGATTATCAGTTTAAAGAATTTATAAAGTCGATTAACCAAAACCGGTTTTATAAGCCAATTTTCACTTTTAAATAAAAAAAACCCTAAATCCTAAAATCTATTTCTCTTTAATCTTCATCATTTATGCATTTCTCCTCTTTTTATTTTTAACACACAAACACAAATTTTAGAATTTAGTATGAGATTTAGACCAAGTAAGGTGCCAAACATATTCATATATGGAAGTTGAAAGCAAAATTAAACAAAATCAAAATTAAGTTAAAAGGGAAAACTGGTTCAATCGAAAAACTGGATTTCGTCTTAACTTGTTTGGTTTCGGTTAGATAAAATTTTTGAACTGAAAAATTAGTTCAATTAAAAAAAGAGGTTAACCAGTTATGAACACCCATAGTGATTGCTAGTAATTAAATATAATAATTACTTTATATATATATTGTCTTATGGTATCATGTGAGCAATACCACCAAAGTATGATAGACTTTCTCCTGCTAGAATAGGATTGAAACCAATGGTATTTCACTATTTTGTTGCAAAGTTAACGGTTTTTTTTCCTTTCTCTCTTTCATCTTCCTTTATTAGCATAACAAATAAATTCTTATTGTCATGAATCACTTGTTATATCAATATAAGAGACGAATCATTGTTATCATTTTAACTCATAGGTTGTTTAGTATGATATCGGTATTATTCATAATAAACCACCATTCCCTTTCAATAAATTATTATTATATTTTGGATACACCCGATAATTGTATAAAAACTTTGGGCATGTTTGGCTTATTATTTCTGTCCATATTCTTAATCCTATCCTCCAAATAATGTTTGGCACATTATTCCAAAAATATTATCCTATTTTTTTAATTACTTTTAGACCCCATAAGGTTATTAATTTCATTAAATACCCCCTAAAAAAAAAGTTTAAAAATTAACAAAAACACCTCCATGACCCATACTTGCCAGATTCCGCTATCGCTAACAGCCAAAGATGGCGGTCGTTTTGGCCTTTTTCGGCCATCGCAGCCACAGCAGGCCGTAGATCTAGCATTTTCCGGCTAGATCCGTGGTGGATCTAGTCGGAAAAGGCCATAACGACGCATTACGACACAAATCCGACCGGTTTGTGTCGTAATGCGATTTTTCGAACAGATTCCGGCGGTGGTGGCCGGAATCTGGCACTGCAAGTGATGGGGGTATTTTTGTCATTTTATATATTAGGGTGTTTAATTAAATTAGTAAACCTATGACTTTTTTATAAATTTTTAAATTTTACCTCGTAATAGTCCCCTATTCAACTACCCAATATTATTCCCAAAATCCTCTCCAAAATAATAAACCAAACGCACCCAAAAATATTAGGGTTCGTTTGGTTCATTATTCTGATACTTTTTAGAATAATATTTTGAAAAAAGTTAAATTGGGCGGGTATTACGATGTAGGATTTGGAAATTAACAAAAATACCCCCTATGTTTGTTTATTTACTAAACAACCCTATAATAAAATATTAAAGGTTAACAAAAACACCCTTGACCCACCCATTAAATACGAACAGCCGGCCACCACCGCCAAAGGGTTGCTGCGGTGTTTTTGCAATTTCTAAAAAAATATTTAGGGGTGTTTAGTTAAATTAACAAATTTAAGAGGGTTTAAAAGAAATTAAATAATATAGAATAATATTTTGAGAATAAGTCAATTTTACAGTTTAACTTTATTGAGAATACTAATAATAGTATTCTCAGGAGTATAAAAAACGGAGCCTTACAACCTAGGAAGAAGAACTCCTTCCCTTAAAAGAACCTTGGACAGGCCTAAGGAACAAACAAAGCAAACAAAGGCCAAAAATTAAAGGTTAACAAAATCCTTTGTAAGCTAAGCCCAATCAAAAAGACTAAAAAACAATAGATGGTCCAAGTTCCAACTAAGACGTCGCTTCTTAGAATAAACGATATATTAGGACATGAATATCACATCAGCTAGGTAATAGTCAGTTTGAAATATTAAAAATGGTTAGAAAGTACGAAAAGGGCAAGATAAGACAAACCACTACAATTATTGTCATATTTTGACTGGGTTACTGTTATACCCGATCTGGTTAATCCACTACAATACCATTCACATTATCTTAGTAGCATGACATATAGCAACCAGCAAATAGTTTTTTATTATCAAATTACGATGGATACTATTTAAATAGAATCATCATAATATATCCACATTGGGGAATTTGTCCACCACCTGAAAGTCAACAATTCCATCTTAGCCAGGTGGCCAGTTCATCTGACGCCCCCCTAAGAGATGGACGTGAATGTGGTAAACTGATTGACCTGCAACAGAATATTCCAACATCAGTTCCCGAAAATATTAGGTATATTCAAATGACAATGTCTATTTCCAGTTTTAGATGAAGAAATATACTAACATCCCTTGGCCCTCATTAATCACAATCCTGAAGCCATCTTCCAGACCTTCCTGTTTGGCAACTAGCTTAGCAGTGTATAGAAGACGGCCAAGAATATCACAGTGCCTTTCCTCAGCCTGGGAAGCATGATTCACATATTACTAACAAGAGAATAAAATAACCAAGAAAACCTAGTCATTTATGAGCAGGTGACTTTCCAAGTCTCCTTTTTTTTTATTTTACTCCACTGATAACACAATGGAAGCAAACCGATAATGTATTTGTTGAGATGAACACATCTAATAAACATAACTATGGTAAAAATAAAGACAGACAAAAGTTGACAGAGTTTGACCTTCCATTCTCAACACATGGAGTAAAACATTAGACCAACTTGAAGATTTCTGAACTGTAAAATTTGTTGAACTTCATGGGCATAGAAATCATATATGAAAGACATGAATAATATTTTACTGTTTGATAATAAAAGATCATTTCTGTATCTGGCTGAAGATTTTGTCTCCATTACTGTATTATTTAGTGATAAGGAAATGTGATTAATTAATTAATATAAGTGAAAATTTGGATATATATATAAGCTACTAATATAAAACACAGTAGTAGTTTCTCAAGTCATCTTTCCAAAGGGGCAAATTCCACATAAGTTGACCTCGAGTAGATAGATATGCAAGAAAATGTAACTATGAAAACAAAGATATGCCAAGGGTTTGACAAGAAAATTGAAAGATAGGATCAAGTTCAACTTCTAACTTCAATTTTTGCAATATCCCATTTCTCTTACATTCTTAACTAATATTTACAAAATACAAGTTGATGTTTCCATGTTTTATATAAAAATATTTAATTTTGGCCTTTATTAGGTCCAAGGTTTCAGAGAGAGAGGAGAGAGGAGAGAGAGAGAAGAGAGAGAGGAGGTGGTGGGTTAAGATATATTTAACCGTCCCAAAAAAAAAAAAAAAAAAAAAAAAGGTCTTAAGATGACTTCATCTGGTTATTTTACTAATGGGGAGCTGGTGGTGTAGCTGTGTAGGGATGCAGAAAACCTTGTGAAACAAAGCTCTGAGAAAACCTATGCAAACAAAGATATACATGGATTGAGGTTTTCATGGCCTACTCAAGAACAAAGGGGTGAGGATCCTAATCCCCACCAAAAACCAGTCCCAATTAATTTTATTTCTATACCTTGTATATGTTGTATAACAATTTTACAAATTTGGTGGGCGGGAATAAGAACTATTGCCTTGATTGTTCACCAATCTTTCTCCACCCCCTTTAAAAATAGGGATGAAAATGAAACAAGGAATAAAAGGGGCGCAATGAGAGGGATGGTAATGGGAAATCCAAACTTGTCAGTTTCACCCAGTTTCCATCTCTTCTAGTGCAACACACACATCAGACATGACAATTTGTAACAGTCCACCTAGCTACACACTAACAAATGATATCTATGAGATAAAAAAATAGCAAGCAGAAAGGATACCTTAGAGAGTCCAGTCAAGCCATCCTTCACTTTGGGAATAATTAGAATGTGTGTGGGAGCTTGGGGAGATATGTCCCTAAAAGCTAAGACCTGTCAAAACAAACACAACAAAGGAAATAAAGAGAAACTCTAAGCTGGCACTATTTTTATATGAACAACAGACTCCAAAGCACAGTCATCTCTGATCAGGATTCATTTTTCTAAAAAAAGTTGAAACATTAAAAAAAAATGTTACACTTATAACAGCTGTTAAACCATAATAGATGAAATAAATCTCTACTAAAAACAGATATCTAATGGTAAATTCAGTTTCAAAAGAAAAGTATAGCCACAATGAGCACAATAGTACCTTGTCATCCTCATAAACTATGGTAGATGGGATTTCTTTGTTAATTATTTTGTCAAATCTGCACATCAATCAAAAAGCATAAGAATATGCAAACTTTTCATTAACGCAAAATTCTGAAATCCAAAGGGAAAATATCAGAAAGTTCAATATACCCAACCAAAAAAACAAGAATAACTTTTAAGGTTAGACAAGTTGCTATAAAACTTTGGTCAAGGCACAAACTAATAAGTAACATAACCAACATTTCCATCTAGAACTGATTGTTGATAAGAATTCTAGTTTCAAACATAAGAGACTTCAACATCCTAATCCTACAATGCAATTACTAAACACAAAACTATGTTAGTGCTACAAAGTTCCCAGATGGCTACTGTAGCGATTTCTATCACACATCCAATAGAGCTCAATAGATTTCTTTTGAAGGCATGCTCTTACAATGCAAGAAGCATATACCATGTGACATTCAAGGTTCAATCAGGCCCTAATGAAAGGAGAGCAACAGTGATTATTTGAAACAAAAAGAAAAAAATTCACACCATTCAATCTTAATCACAGCAACCAAACTTTTGATGGAGCTCGAAATAAAATTTCTAATTAATACCTCTTCAACAATTTGCATCCACTCTACAAAGCATGACCGACTCTACAATCTTCGAGAATTGGTTTGATTCTTCAATTTTCAAGGCTTGATAGATAAATTGATAAGCCAATGATTTTTTCGGGCGTTTCAGAATATGTTTAACCAACATGTTAACTAATCCATCGCTATAAATTGGATGGGATTTTGCAGTTTTTTCTTCTGAATACATCAACGTGACATGAGCGCGAATGGGGTTCAAGAATCCGTTTTTCTTTCATAAGGTCTAAAATAATTTATTTTCATTTCAAGCTTTAGAATTTTTTTTTTTTGTAAATTATTGAGCGGCGAATTCCAATCAATTTTATCATGTAGAAACAGAATAATCAATCAATGAGGCCAAATAATCAGACAATCGACAAATGAAAGTTTAAGAAAGATGGAAAAGATAAGGGATAATAAAGAATAACTAACAATAGAGAAAAGAGAGAAATAGAAAGAATTGAAGAGAAGCTCACATGTGGGAGAATCAGAGGGAACTGCAGCCAGAGCTGCTTCTTTCTCTGAAGTCATGGCGACAGCAGGGACAAATGAGAGCTCAGTACTCCAAGTCGGCTTTTACCTAGGCTTGATATTTTCTCACCGCTCATGTTCATTACTTCTAGGGCTCGCCCTTCTTTTGTCTTTCCCTTGACTTTTGTAAATTATCTTTATCCTCCCCTACCATTAGGGTATTTTGTTTTAAGCAATATTTTATGGAGATATACTGTAATTAATCATTTTAAAAAAAGTAGATGGCTATTACAAAATGAGAGTCTGCTTCATTACGAGGTTTAATCAAGTAACAAATTTTTATTTTTTTTTAGATATCAAAAATCTTCCAAATATTATGAGCCGTTTTATAAATATTTATCTAATTCTTTCTCTTACGTTTATTCTTTATTTTAACACCATCAATTACCAGAAGAGAATTTTTTTTTTTATTTCTATAATAACATGTATTTTTATTGTTTAATTGTACTTAAGGGGGATTACTTCTAATCATTCTAAGATTCCTACACTTCATGAAGCTAGCTGAGAATATGTATGGTTAAAAATCTATTATCCATCCCATCCAGGCACATGCAAGTTATCTTCTATCTCAGATACTTCCACTATCATATATGAGGATAATGCAACTTGTATTGCTTAAATTAGAGAAGGATATGTCTAAGAAGATAGAACTAAGCATATCTCGTTGAAATTCTTTTATACTCATGAACTCTAGCAGAGTTGATAGATTGATGTCAAGCAAATAGTTCAAATGATAATCTTGCAGATCTATTCACTAAAACATTACCAACACCAACTTTTGAAAATTTGATATATTGCATCTGTATGCGGCATCTTAGTAAGCAACCAAGTTAATTTTGTCATTATCAAGGGGAGCAAATTTTTGTAGAGAGTTATTGTATTGGACATATGTACATTGTACTTTTTTTTCCTTGATCACTGGATTTTCTTGGCAAGGTTTTTTAACAAGGCAATATTAAGCATATCCAATACCATTATACAGTTCATCAAATAATTGTATTTCTTTGCTTAGGTTTTTATCCCATTGGGTTTTTTCTTAAATACAGGTAAATACAATTTATCTGTTATCTGTAAGTGATGAATTTTATTTGGTGGAGATCCAAGGGGTAGTATTGTAAATAAATGCGGATCTTTCACTAATTGATACATTTTCTATTATGCCGTTGCCACCCTATGACACATGACAAAAGGTGACAACATTTTGTTTAGGCTTGCTACATGTGTGATACCTAGTGGCTAAATGAGATAGTTTTTTATTAGGTTGTGGGGCAGCAAGGCGTACTATACAAACCCCTCCCCTCTCTTGCAATTTGACTGTAGCGATATATAAGTGGAAGGAAGTAACCTTAAGCCCTTGTATTCTTCTTCCGTACCTAAGAGTCCCTTATCTTTTATCTATTACATTGTAGTCATTATTATTTTATATTTTGGCAATTATTTTACGACAAAATATAAAATTTGATATCATCTATTTCCATATTAATTTAAAAATTATGTGTCTTTCAAAAGGTATATATGTGTTTGATAAATGAAAATATATAATGAGAACATTATATAAATATGATAAAGAAATAAATATATTAAATAATATGGAAATATAAACAATATGTTAAAAATATTCTTGAAAGTTTATAGAAATTCAAATGAAAACACCATCAACCATGCATGGAATGCAAATACAATTTTAATACAATACTAATTTCATTGTCAATGTAGTATTTTGGACTATGGTATATTGATTTTTACTTCAAAAATATATATTTATTTTATTATACAGTAAATATACTTATTTAACATCTATAGGTTGTCTTAACATGTCTCAAGACTCGTGATATAAACATTAGAGTACCAAAACTTGACTTTTTTTAACGAGTAATACTATACATACAACATTTTTCATACAACTTGATGTGACAAAAGTTTATGCTTAATTTAAAAGGGGAAACGACTTACACCTACCTAAGGTTTGGAGAAACGAAAGATTGGTACCCAAAAGGTTTCAAAAAGACAAACAGGCACCTTTCGTTAGGGAAAAGACTAGAATACCCTTTGAGAAATATTAGTCTATTTTTTTAATTACTTTTAGACCCCTTAAGTTTACTAATTCCATCAAATACCCCAAAAAAAAAGTTTAAAAATTAACAAAAACACCCTCACTCACCCATACTTGCCAGATTCCGACGGACACCACTGGAAATAGCCGGTAGTTCACCGATCTGGCCTTTTTCGGCCAGATCCACCACGAATCTGGCCGGAAAAGGCCAGATCTGACTTGAGAAGGCCAGATCTGGCCGAAAATTGACGGCCACATCTTTGGCCGTCACATCTTTGGCCGTCACTTTCCGGCCAAAGATGTGGCTGTCAATTTCCAACCAGATCTGGCCTTCTCAAGTCAGATCTGGCCTTTTTCGGCCAGATTCGTGGTGGATCTAACCGAAAAAGGCCAAATCGATGAACTACCGGCCATTTCCGGTGGTGGCGTAGACCGTTGTGATAGATTCCGACTACCACCGACAGTGACCGCTGGAATCTGACAAGTATGGGTGGATGAGAGTGTTTTTGTTAATTTTTAAACTTTTTTCTGAGGATATTTGATGGAATTACTAAACTTAAGGGGTCTAAAAGTAATTAAAAAAATAAACTAATATTTCTCAAAGAGCATTCTAGTCTTTTCCCTAACGAAAGGTACTTGTTTGTCTTTTTGAAACCTTTTGGGTACCAATCTGTCGTTTCTCCAAACCTTGGGTAGGTGTAAGTCGTTCTGCTAATTTAAAATCAGTTAATCACATTTGACTACAAATGGGCCAGAACCTCAAGTTCTGAAATGGGATTATGCAAAGATAGTTTGGTTCTCCACCAGCTACTTTCTCACTACCACATTTCCAATATATCATCATAAACCACAACCACCAGCTACACTTCCAGCATTCTACAACCATCAAACAACCTTTGTCTAAAAACAATAGATGGTCCAAGTTCCAACTAAGACGTCGCTTCTTAGAATAAACGATATATTAGGACATGAATATCACATCAGCTAGGTAATAGTCAGTTTGAAAAATTAAAAATGGTTAGAAAGTAGGAAAAGGAAATGCAAGATAAGCCAAACCACTACAATTATTGTCATATTTTGACTGGGTTACTGTTTATACCCCGATCTGGTTAATCCACTACAATACCATTCACATTATCTTAAGTAGCATGACATATAGCAACCAGCAAATAGTTTTTTATTATCAAATTACGATGGATACTATTTAAGTAGAATCATCATAATAATACCAACATTGGGGAATTTGTCCACCACCTGAAAGTCAACAATTCCATCTTAGCCAGGTGGCCAGTTCATCTGACGCCCCCCTAAGAGATGGACGTGAATGTGGTAAACTGATTGACCTGCAACAAAATATTCCAACATCAGTTCCTGAAAATATTAGGTATATTCAAATGACAATGTCTATTTCCAGTTTTAAGATGAAGAAAATATACTTACATCCACTTGGCCCATCATTAATCACAATCCTGAAGCCATCTTCCAGACCTTCCTGTTTGGCAACTAGCTTAGCAGTGTATAGAAGACGGCCAAGAATATCACAGTGCCTTTCCTCAGCCTGGGAAGCATGATTCACATATTACTAACAAGAGAATAAAATAACCAAGAAAAACCTAGTCATTTATGAGCAGGTGACTTTCCAAGTCTCCTTTTTTTTTATTTTACTCCACTGATAACACAATGGAAGCAAACCAATAAGGTATTTGTTGAGATGAACACATCTAATAAATATAACTATGGTAAAAATAAAGACAGACAAAAGTTGACAGAGTTTGAACTTCCATTCTCAACACATGGAGTAAAACATTAGACCAACTTGAAGATTTCTGAACTGTAAAATTTGTTGAGCTTCATGGGCATAGAAATCAATATAATGAAAGACATGAATTACTATTTTACTGTTTGATAATAAGAGATCATTTCCTGTATCTGGCTGAAGATTTTGTCTCCATTACTGTATTATTTACTGATAAGGAAAACGTGATTAAGTAATTAATTTAAATGAAAATTTGGATATATATAAGCCTACTATTAAAAACACAGTAGTAGTTCTCGAGTCATCTTTCCAAAGGGGCAAATTCCACATAAAGTTGACCTCGAGTAGATAGATATTGCAAGAAAATGAAACTATGAGAAACAAAGATATGCCAAGGGTTTGACAACAAACATTGAAAGATAGGATCAAGTTCAACTTCTAACTTCAATTTTTGCAATATCCCATTTCTCTTACATTCTTAAACACAATATTTAAAACATACAAGTTGATGCTTCCATGTTTTATATCAAAATATTTAATTTTGGCCTCTGTTAGGTCCAAGGTTTCAGAGAGAGAGACAGAAAGAGGTGGAGGGTTAAGATATTAGTTAACCATACACAAATAAAAAAAAATAACAGGTCTTAAGATGACTTCATCTGGTTATTTTACTAATGGGGAGCTTGGTGGTGTAGCTGTGTAGGGATGGCAGAAAACCTTGTGAAGCAAAGCTCTGAGAAAACCTACGCAAACAAAGATATACATGGATTGAGGTTTTCATGGCCTACTCAAGAACAAAGGGGTGAGGATCCTAATCCCTGCACCAAAAACCAGTCCCAATTAATTTTATTTCTAATACCTTGTATAATGTTGTATAACAATTTTACAAATTTGGTGGGCGGGAATAAGAACTATTGCCTTGATTGGGTTCACCAATCCTTTCTCCACCCCCTTTAAAAATAGGGATGAAAATGAGACAAGAAATAAAAGGGGCGCAATGAGAGGGATGGTGATGGGAAATCCAAACTTGTGCAGTTTCACCCAGTTTCCATCTCTATTCTAGTGCAACATCACCACATCAGACATGAACAATTTTGTAAACAGTCCACCTTGCTACACACTAACAAAATGATATCTATGGAGATAAAAGAAATAGCAAGCAGAAAAGGATACCTTAGAGAGTCCAGTCAAGCCATCCTTCACTTTGGGAATAATTAGAATGTGTGTGGGAGCTTGGGGAGATATGTCCCTAAAAGCTAAGACCTGTCAAAACAAACACAACAAAAGGAAATAAAGAGAAACTCTAAGCTGGCACTATTTTTTAAGATCAACAACAGACTCCAAAACATTGTCATCTCTGATCAGGATTCATATTTCTAAAAAAAGTTGAAACATTGAAAAAAAAATGTTACACTTTATAACAGCTGTTAAACCACAAATAGATGAAATAAATCTCTACTAACAACAGATACCTAATGGTAAATTCAGTTTCAAAAGAAAAGTATAAGCCACAATGAGCACAATAGTACCTTGTCATCCTCATAAACTATGGTAGATGGGATTTCTTTGTTAATTATTTTGTCAAATCTGCACATCAATCAAAAAGCATAAGAATATGCAAACTTTTCATTAACGCAAAATTCTGAAATCCAAAGGGAAAATATCAGAAAGTTCAATATACCCAACCAAAAAAACAAGAATAACTTTTAAGGTTAGACAAGTTGCTATAAAACTTTGGTCAAGGCACAAACTAATAAGTAACATAACCAACATTTACCATCTAGAACTGATTGTTGATAAGAATTCTAGTTTCAAACATAAAGAGACTTCAACATCCTAATCCTACAATGCAATTACTAAACACAAAACTATGTTAGTGCTACAAAGTTCCCAGATGGCTACTGTAGCGATTTCTATCACAAATCAAATAAGCTCTAGATTCTTTTGAAGGCATGTGATAGGAACCCACTCCAATAATTCAACAATTTTGGACTGGGTCATAGGTCTTTTATGGGCTTGAGTAGAACTCTCCTTGGAAAACCGGCTTGCCAAGGAGGGTGCCCAAACATTTATAACCACATGCCCACCCTTTTCCTTTTCAATGTGGGATCCTAACATTCCACCAAGCTTCCGCACCACGTCTGGTCGGCCTCTTTACCCCCATAGGCCCCTTTACCCCGGGTGACTACGCGAATCCCCTTTCCCTCGGGCCTCATGCCCTTTCTCGGGGGAGCAGCCCGGACCCAAGGTCAGCCTACCACGGGTCAACCTGCCACGTGCGCTGCCCCATAGGCACAAGATCATGCTTGAACCAATTGATAGGAACCCACTCCAATAACTCAACAATTTTGGGTTAGGCCATGGGTTTTTATAGGTTTGAGTAGAATCTCCTTGGAAAACCGGCTTGCCAAGGGAGGGTGCCCAAACCTTATAACCCACATGCCCACCCTTTTCCCTTTCAATGTGGTATCCTACCAGCATGCTCTTCCAATGCAAGAAGCATATACCATGTGACATTCAAGGTTCAATCAGGCCTTTTTCCTTCGCCATCAAATTAACACTCCATTACAAGTTCTTCAGATTTTTTTTCCTCAGACTGATCTCCCACCTACTGTTTCCAATTCAATATAATATCCATCTAATAATACTCACATTTCCTATTCTCTTGTTATACATTCTCCAAAATTATAACAGCGAAACAAATAACTCCCTAATGAAAGGAGAGCAACAGTGATTATTCGAAACAAAAAGAAAAAAATTCACACCATTCAATCTTAATCACAGCAACCAAACTTTTGATGGATCTCGAAATAAAATTTCCTATTTACCTCTTCAACCATTTGCATCCAGACTCTATAAAGCATGCCGACTCTAACTCTTCGAGATTGGTTTGATCTTCAATTTTCAAGGCTGATAGATAAATTGATAAGCCATGATTTTTTCGGGCTTTCCGAATTGTTTAACCAACATGTTAACTAATCCATCGCTATAAATTGGATGGGATTTTGCAGTTTTTCTTCTGAAGTACATCAACGTGACATGACGCGAATGGGGTTCAAGAATCCGTTTTCTTTTCATAAGGTCTAAAATAATTATTTTCATTTCAAGCTTTAGAATTTTTTTTAAAAATTATCAGCGCGTTCCAATCATTTTATCATGTAGAAACAGAATAATCAATCAATCAATCATAACGAGGCCAAATAATCAGACAATCGACAAATGAAAGTTTAGAAAGAGTGGAAAAGATAAGGGATAATAAGAAAACTAAAACAATTGAAAAGAGAGAAATAGAAAAGAATTGAAGAGAAGCTCACATGGTGGGAGAATCAGAGGGAACTGCAGCCAGAGCTGCTTCTTTCTCTGAAGCCATGGCGACAGCAGGGACAAATGAGAGCCCAGCACTCAAGCGGCTTTTACCTAGACTTATATTTTCTCACCGCTCATATTCATTACTCTAGGGCTCGCCCTTCTTTTGTCTTTCCCCTGACTTTTGTTAAATTATCTTTATACCTACTGTTGTTCAAAAGAACATGTTGGAAACCGGAAACGATAGATATTCTCGGTTTAGTTTCGGTTTTACCCATAACTAATCATCAATGCCTCAATAGGTAGATTTCGGTCCAAATTTTTTGAAGCGAAACCAAGAACCAGGAACCGAGATAATATAAATAAATTAAATATTGGGGGTTAATAAAACTTTTGTAAAAAAAGTAATGTGAATACATTTAATTATATTCATAACATTTAAAGTAAGTTGGTTTGAATTTGAGAATCTACCTTACAAGTAATGGAGTTTGTAATTTTGAATTTAAATTTTATTTTTGTTAACAAGTGCTAGGTGGGAGGATATTTGTAAGTTTTTAAGGGTTTTTTGCCATTTTAAAAATTTTGGGGGGTCGTGAATTTATAGGGTACCCAGAATCGGAGCTGGAACCGTTGTTACGGGTTCTGGTTTGGGTACTAGGAACCGAAACCGTCGGTTTTGGTTTCAGTTCCGGTTCCGGTTCCAGTTTTGGTTCCTTCAAAAGTACAGAGTACCCAGAACGAACACCCCTACCTACCAGGCTATAGAGGGTGGCTCTGTCATAATTAGAGAAATCTTACAAACATTTAGAATTCCAAAACTATTAGGTATTTTATTTTAAGCAATATTTTAGGGGGATATACTGTATTAATCATTTTAAGAAAGTATGGGCTATTAATATAGGCTATTACAAAATGAGAGTGCTTACGAGGTTTAATCAAGTAACAAATTTTTTTTTTTTTTATATTCAAAATCTTCAAATACTAATGAGCGTTTTATAAATATTTATCTAATTCTTTCTCTATGTTATTCTTTATTTAACAACATACAATTAACTGAAGAGATTTTTTTTTCTATAATAACATGGTATTTTTTATTGTTTAATTGTACTTAAGGGGATTATTGTTATTAATCCAATAAAAACTGCAAACATAGACTATCGAATGCCATGATTTATTTAAGAATATTTAATATTACAGAGGAATAAAAAATACTTTGAAGTACATATATCCATTAATTTATTTTAATTCAGTAGATTGTGGGAATCAATAGTCATCAACACATAGACAAATCTTGCTAATTTTGATTTAATCCTAGATATTTCTCAAATTGTTGAGAAGTATATTTATGTTTAACCAAACTAAAATTAAAGTTAATAAAATATTTGATTATAATTACATATTTATTTGTGGACTCTCCATTACCCGCTTTTTTTTTTTTTTCTGTTTTAATCCTAGAAAAGGTTGCATGTTCGTGTTTAAGGGAAAACTTCACCAAACATCTTTCCAAAAAAAAAAAAAATCTATAATATACGAGTGTCTTATTCCATAACACCTTCCAAAAATTTAAGCCACCTTTGAATTTCTTTTGTAGAAAGTAATATTACACTTACAAAAAAAAATTTACAAAAACTTTCATACAAAGTAATATGGTAAAAAATGAATGGAAAAGTGAATTTAATGAGGTTTGACTTTTTGTTTTATCTTCCATTCATATTTGTACCTCACTTGTATGAAAATCTTTGTAAGATTTCTTTAAGTATAATATTATGATGTTTAAATTAATTGTGTTGGTTAGGAGTGTTCAAAAAAATTAAGAAACCGAATCAAATGGTTTTAGTTATCCAAAAAACTGGTTCAATTTCTGTTCAAGAAAAACATAAACCGAATTTTCAGTTCGATTACCTGTTAAAGAATTTATAAAGTTGATTAATCAGAACGGTTTAAACCAGTTTCACTTTAAAAAAAAACCCTAAATCCCAAATCTATTTCTTTCACTCTTCATCTTTATGAATTTATCCATTTTTTTTTTTTTTTTTTTTTTTTTTGCACACAAACACAAATTTAGAATTTAGTATGAGATTATAACCAAGGAAGGCACAGAACATATTCATAAGGAAGTTAAAAACAAAATAAAAAAAAGTTAAAGGAAAAACCGGTTCAACTGAAAAAACCGATTTATCTAAACAGTTCAATTTCGATTAAGTAAAATTCTTGAATTGAAAAACCGTTCGATTAAAAAAAGGTAACCAGTTTATGAACACTCATAGTGATTGCAGTAATTAATATCACTAATTACTTGATATACATATATTGTCTTATGGTATCATGTGAGCAATACCACCAAAGTATGATAGACTTTCTCCTACTTGAACAGGATTGAAACCAATGGTATTTCGCTATTTTGTTGCAAAGTTGACGGTTTTTTTCCTTTCTCTCTTTCATCTTCCTATATTAGCATAACAAATAAATTCTTATTGTCACCAATCAAAAAGAGGCCCCGGAAACAAAACAAAACGAAGCTATACAAATTATCCAAAAGAAAACTAGACTGCAAGCCCATAAGCCTAACAAAGAACTCGTTCGGCCCAGAAAATCTAGGCCCATGGTCTTCATGCGTAGGATCCCAACCAAAAATTATTATACACCCTCGACTTCCATGATCTCCAGTTCCATCTTCTGAAATCCTATCAAAATAGACTCTCGATTCAAGGATAGCACATAACGCAACACCCTGCTTCTTCATGAACTACGAAGAATTTAATTTGGAGGATTGTGTCGAGTCCCCCAACACTTTTCTCCTCAGAATGATCCAAGCCAACTGCCCCTTCCTGAATAAAATCCTACATCGACACAGAGATTCGACGTCTGGTCCCTTCATCTTTGGGTCTTCTTCAACATTCGTCTCTTTTGTTTCAAAAAGAATAGGATCCCCTGGATATTTCCTTAATAAGATCGACCGTTCAAGTTCTCCATCTTGAATTGCAGTGAGACAATGAAACGAATTACCTACTAACAATCAGCTTTAATATTTTTTCTATGGCCGGATTTTCTTTCTCTAGGCGAGCTCCCTGTTCCAGTCTAGGAGGGTTGTTAGTACCTTCCCTTGGGCGAACTCTCTGTTCTAATCTTCGACCCTCCACATTAAACTTGAATTTTCCCCTTCCCTTTCCTTGTGACTGTCTGAAAGCCATCAGCAGCAATAACCGCTTCTTTGGATTTATCCCCTTGAGTCTGCTTAATCTCAGTTTTAGGTTTATGCGGGCAATATTCATCCCGATGACCAAAGACATTGCATCGCTCACATTGCGAAGGCCTCTACTGATGATCGATTCTAACCGTTATTATTATTATTTATAATTGAGACTCATATATCATTCTTTTTTTTTGAAAATCTTATTAGGTGATAAAACATGGAAAAAATTATTGTTGTTGTTTAACTTATTGTTTCTAATCTAGAAATTTTGAGGTAAATTGTCACATTATTGAAACTTATTGCTATTTAACACAACTTATTTCTACTTTTTGAAAAGTTGAGGTGATAGTGGTCACCTAATTCAAATATAAATCAATCAATCAGCCATGAATTGTAACCTATTTGAAGTAAACTGTTTTCCCTGTTCACTATAATAAAATCTTTTTTTTTTTTTTTTTTTTTAACACCAATCCCACAATCCAAATAAATTATTACTTAAAGTAAAATAGGGCAAGTTTGAGATTGTTGTAACCAGGGGCATAGCCAAGATTTATAGTTAACGAGGTCAAAAGATCTAATTTGATAAATTTACAATAAAATATATATTGAAATAATAAGTATAAAAAAATGTAATCTAAAATTTTAATTTTACAAGTTATACATATCAAATTATCAATTATACAATTGTCCTTGACAATTTTTCATATTCTGAAAATATTGGATAATTGTTTTATTGATAATGCCTTCAAATATCTCTCTCTCAATATATGTAATAAGACAATCATTTAACAATTGATCTCCCATTCAATTTAGTAGTCGATTTTTCATAATATTCATCTCAAAAAATACTCTTTCAACACTTACCGTTGCAACATATAATATCAATGCTAATTTTATAAGTAAATAAACAAGTGATACACCATGTTTTTCTTTGTTTGAACCAACTTTTCAGCAAGAGCACCAATCCCATTTAATGTCAAAGAATCATTATCAAAGGGCATATCAAGAATATAAGTATCCAAGTGATTGTCTAGTAGCACAAGCTCCATTGGTGAAAAGTGACATGGATAAAACTAAGCAAGATGGATCAACTTCTCTTTGGCAAAAGCAAAAAATGAACCATTTTGGACTTAAACATGCTACACAAAGAAGCAGCTATGTATTCAACTGATTAAAACGACTTTTAAGTTATTGGAGCTGAAATCTATAGTAGCATAAAAACATTCCACCTGATAATGATGTAAATTTGTAACTTGATGAACTTTGCGTTGCGATCGCCCTTTCATTTGAAAATTGTCATTCATATTTGAGTCAATAATACAATTTTCTTTACAAAATGAAGAAACTTCAATTAACAAACCATCACATCCATCATCTCTTAACATTTGTAGCCTTTTTTTTTTATTTTTTTTTATTTTTTATAACTTCACTAATTTCATTGCATTAACAATATCTTGATTTTTTCTTTGTAAGACATTTGATAATTCATTTATAATGCCTAATACAGTCTTTATCAAATGTAAGCTAAATATGAAATCAAAAGACTGTACAAACTCTAACAAAGTAGAAGCTTGAGCTCTTTGTTTAAGATCTAAACCATCCTCAACAACATTATCAAGAACATCTACCACAGATGGAAACATAACAATCAAAGATGCAAGCGTATCATGATGTGAACCCCAACGTGTATCTCCTACATAGTTTCTTGATTCAATCCACGTCCACTTGTAAGTTTACCAGTTGCAAATGCTTCAGAAACATGAGCAACTTGACGTCCTCAATGGATATCTCATCGCTTACAAGAAGCTTAACAACATTTACAAGATCAACTATCATGTTAAAAAGACTTCCAACTCGAACATCATTTTTTCCAATAGCAACAAGTGTAAATTGAAGTAGATGAGCAAAACATGCGTGCTGATTCATTCTCCCTCATGATCGAACTTTTTAACCCATTGAATTCACC